ACTGGCGGCGCCGCGGCAACGGCTGGCCTGGGAGGGACGCTAGCTTCTCTGTCACTAGATGCCCTCTCCCGGCGAGACGAGCGAGCGAGAGGACAAGTGAATCGTTTTTCTCGGGGGATCGAGGGAAACTGGCCAGGGGCTGGGCAGTGGCATTTTTTCTGTAAAATGTGCAAACAACAATGGCAACAAGATATACCCTTTCATCTTAAGTGGGCTTTTGCGGAAAGGAGCTCCACCCCAGCTTATTTTCATTGTGAAGGAGGTCGCTGCGAAAATAAGTTAAGCCCAAGACCCCCAAACAAGTTATTTTGGGCTTCTGGCTTATTTTCACAATAAGTTGCCGGAAGCTACGAAAGAATTGGCCCTAAAGTAGGAGAAACAGACACCCGCTAGCCACCTTTATGCAAAACAAGTTGCATGTCAGTCGGTGGAACTGGTCTCATGTGCGTGACATGTAAGGTTGGTCCGGGCCGCTTCATCCCACAATGCCGCCGAATCAAAATAAGACGTTGGTGGTAAGCAGTATGACCATCACCGCCCACAACTCCTTTGTGTTCTACTATCATCTACACATAAACCTAGCTCTGATACCACTGTTGGGGAACGTTGCATGGAAAACAAAAAAATTCTACACACACGCAAGATCTATCCATGCAGATGCATAACTACAAGAAGGGAGATATGTCTACGTACCCTCGTAGACCGTAAAGCGAAAGCGTTCATTAACGCGGTTGATGTAGTTGAACACCTTTGCGATCCAACCGATCAAGTACCGAACGTACGGCACCTCCGCGTTTAGCACACGTTCAGCTCGATGACGTCCTCGCCTTCTTGATCCAGCAAGATGAGCGAAATAGTAGATGAGTTCCGGTAGCATGACAGTGTGGTGACGGTGGTGATTAACTTGTTCCTACAGGGCTTCACCATGCACTGCGAAAAACCTGGACGGAGGACTAAACTGTGGAGAGGGGCGTCGCACACGGCTAAGAGATTGTCGTGGTGTTGTGTGGCGCCCCCTCCCTCACATATACATAGGTGGGGGAGGGGAGGCAGCCAGGAGGCACCCCAAGGGTGGCCGTCCGGCCCCCTTGGGCTCCTGCCCTCTAGCGCCCCCTTCCTTGTATGCTTGCGGGGTGGGGGATGGGAGGCAGGAGGAGGTGGCGCCCCTTTCCTTCCTCTTAGGTGGAGGGAAGGAAAGAGGGGCTAGCCCTCCCTCCTTTCCATCCCTAGGGCCGGTGGCCAAGGGAAGGGGGGCGCCAGCCCCTTGTGGGCTGGTGTATTCCCCCCTCTTGGCCCATAAGGCCCATAAACCTCCCGGGGCTTCCCGGAACCCCTTCTGGTGTTCCGATGACTACCTGATACACTCTGAAACCTTTCTGATGACCAAATAACATCGTCCTATATATATCAATCTTTACCTCCGGACCATTCTGGAGCTCCTCGTATGTCCGTGATCTCATCTGGGACTCTGAACAACATTCGGTCACCAAATCACATAACTCATATAATACTATATCGTCAACGAATGTTAAGCGTGCGGACCCTATGGGTTCGAGAATGATGTAGACATGACCGAGATGCCTCTCCGATCAATAACCAATAGCGGAACCTGGATGCCCATGTTGGTTTCTACATATTCTACGAACATCTTTATCGGTCGAACCTTATGATAACATACGTAATTCCCTTTGTCTGTCGATATGTTACTTGGCCGAGATTCGATCGTCGATATCTTCATACCTAGTTCAATCTTGTTACCGACAAGTCTCTTTACTCGTTCTGTAATACATCATCTCGTAACTAACTCCTTAGTCACTTTGCTTGCAATTTTCTTGTGATGTGTATTACCAAGAGGGCCCAGAGATACCTCTCCGATACACAAAGTGACAAATCCTAATCTCCATCCATGCCAACTCAACAGACACCTTTGGATCACCTAGTTATGTTGTGACGTTTGGTATCACACAAGGTATTCCTCCGGTATCCGGGAGTTGCATGATCTCATAGTCGAAGGAATATGTATTCGACATTAAGAAAGCAGTAGCAATAAACTGAACGATCATATGCTAGGCTAACGGATGGGTCTTGTCCATCACATCATTCTCCTAATGATGTGATCCCGTTATCAAGTGAAAACACATGTCTATGGTTAGGAAACCTTAACCATCTTTGATCAACGAGCTAGTCTAGTAGAGGCTTACTAGGGACACAATATTTTGTTTATGTATCCACACATGTATTTAAGTTTCCGATCAATACAATTCTAGCATGAATAATAAACCTTTATCATGAATAAGGAAATATAATAATAACAACTTTATTGTTGCCTCTAGGTCATATTTCCATTAGAACGCTGCCACCCAAATCCAAAGGAGAACACAAATGAACGCGGTTAGGGAAAAGAGGCAGAAAGGCGCCCCTGCAACCGCCACAAGTACATGTTTTTTAAGCACCGCCACGAGTAATCTATAATACCTAAATAGTTCATCCCCACTATGTCATTTCTCTTGACAAGCAAGCTATCCACCTCGTCACCTATGCCCCACACATGTCACCTCAGAAAAAATAATCCAACAAATTGTATGATACTACAACTTTTATTTAATACGCAACCCCCATAGAAAAAAGGACGCGACCATCCTCAGATCGTTTGCTCTTCAGTATTCTGTAACAGATGAGGTAGGCGTCATATTAATTCCAAAGAATTTCCCCAAATTAAAATTTTTTCCCCAAAGGTCACCATCGCAGGTTCCTTTCTTTTTCACGTCGCACTTCTTTAATCCCCTCAATTGAGTACATCCGAAGACAAACCGATCGGTCTCGCTCTCCCAGACTCTCCGCCTACTCCACATCTTTTTTGTTTCCATTCTCTCGCCCCTCTATTTGATCTCATTCACCATGAAGGTTGTACTCAATATCCATCGCTAGATAAGATTGATGCACCTGCGCTGTATCGTCTCCTCACTGCATGCCACCGGCGTTCAGGACTGCCACCACCTCATGCCGGCAAGGATTGATCTTCTCTGCCGGTTGTTGTCATCAGGCACGCAGTCCCCCACCCTCCATGGATCCAAACACACAGCCAGATCCATCGCTGAGAGGAGCAGCACACACATCGGATCACGCTGCTATGCTGCAGCCTCGATGTGCTCAACCCCGGTCATCTCAACGGGTGATGATTTCGCCTCCTCAAGGATGACCTCCACCACCACCCTACTACCCTGAAGCGCCGCCGCCGCCTGCTCTTGGACAACTTCCCTAACCCCCGCTAAATTTCATCTTCAAAAACTAGAGTGGCACCGCTCCCATCGTCTCCAACATCAGGTTGGCGTTTGTGCCTTTTCTCTAAAACCGTGTCAGCTTGGCCAAGTCATGCCCAATTACTCATGTGTTTTTTCTTGCAATATTGACCTCAAAAGCACATGCGTAGTCTAATAGTTATAACTGCTAATGCATACCACTATGGTTATTTCACTGCTGTTGTAGATCGGTTCTCTTTGTCCAAAAGTTGGCTAGGGACTTGGCCATGTTGCAACTTTCATTTGAAATATCAAAGAAAAGATAGTAATGAGAGGATTTGACGTCATAGCACTCATGTTTTGGCTGAGAATAAATGTAAAAAAACAAGAGTAGGTTGAGTTCTTGCCCTCCTTTGCTAAGCTTCTGTCTTCTTTTCTCATGTATCATGACGTCATGTGATCCATCTTTTTGTAGGGAATAAGAGTCTCTACAGCTAAATGATATAATTATGAGCTTTCTTATTCTTAATCAGGAACTTTGTCCCCTAACATATTCTTTACTAATCTGACATGTCTTTGGTGGGCATACTAAAAGTTGTAAGCTCTCTTGGTCAAACAAGTGGAATGAATACATACTCTTTTTTCACACAGCCCATAGGCACCTCTCAAGTCCCTCCCCCATTTCGCTTTGGAAATCTTCTTTCTGCAAGGGCTCAGTCGCAAGTTATTTTTGGCACCTCCTTCAAGGAAAAGTTAACACTCGAAATCCTCTCCATTGTAAAAATATATTCCTCTCTAGATTTCATCTGTGCCTTATGTCATGCTCATGTTGAGGAATATAATTGTTTCTTTTGTGGAACTTTTATTGCCTTGAAATGTTGAGACGTCCTCTAGCCTTCATGGAGAAGAGCGTCGAATTATGGGAGATATTGTTAAAAATAGATAAATAAATCCATCTAAGTTGTGAATAGACCCAAGAGTCAAAACAACCGTTTTCACAGAAAAAATGTGGGCCCGTTTATGCAGCCCACAACCCCGTCGGCAGGGGATCCGGCTTGCCTGCTCCCTCCCCATACTCCCATCCGTGCTCCCATTTCATCCTACGGTTGTTTTTTTTTCCTTTTCCTTTCTAATCTAATCATCCACCCCTCTGATTTTAAGAAGATGGGATCGGACTTTATTTCACTCCAACCAAATTATGCCACATATGCGGGAGCACGGATGGGCACACGTACACGTGGGAGCAGACTAAGTCTCGTCCGTCACCAGGGCCCCCTTTCCAAGGGAGTGTTTTATTTTGGAGATTTGGTGGAGGGGAGCTGGGAGTTGAGGCTGGTCACAATGGGGAGGAACTTAGGAGTAACATCACACACTCCAATACAATTTTGCTTATGTGTCACATATTTAATGAAGAGAGAGGTGCTTGTGGTAACTAGCTAAGTTACCGGAACATCACACACTCCAAGAAACAATAAGTCTATAACCTAATAAATACATTGTTGCATGACACTACATAGATGTTCCTACCCATTGTGGAGGTAGTAACATAGTCTAGGAAAGTGTGTAAGTTACTAGACTATGTTCTTGCCCATTGTGACCAGCCTGACGGCCGGGGAGAGTTGCCGAAGACGCCCTCAACTGCCTAATCCCCCGCCCGTCTCCTCGAAGAACGGCACGCTCGGATCAGGGCACCTCCCCCGCCCCGGCAGCCTGCCGCGTCCTCCCGCCCGAGCGCGCCGCCGCCGTGTCGCGACGGTGCTAATGGCTTCAGAGGTTCTCCCCGTGGTGGACCTCCGCGTGCTCGCGCAGTCTGACCTGGACGCTCTCGCCGCCGCGTCCCTCCACGCAGTCGCTCCGCGGAGCTGCCCCGACGCCGCCCCGCTCCCGCCTCTCAAGATCGACCGTGCTGTGTTTAACGAGAGCGCGGGGTACCGTAAGCAGACTTTCTCCCGACTCCGCTTCGCCGCAGCCGCCTCCTCCTCCATCCCCACCTCCCCTTCCCCCATCACGCCGTGCGCAGGCAACAACCCCGAGAACCACCTCGTCGCCTACCATCTCCGCCGTTTCTTCGCCCGTGAAGACCCCTCTTGCCCGCCCTCGACCCCGCCTCCACCCGAAACCCTAGCCCTATCGTCTCCCGACCCCGACCGGGAGACTACAAACTCCAAGCGGGTCTCCGTTGATCTTGTGAGGCTCGTTGGGCTCGTGGACCCATACGGCGAAGAGTTACGGAGGCAAACAGCCGGGCTTATGTCGGAGGCGGAGCTGTTGGACTTCATCAATTGCCTCGAAGGACAATGGGTGAGTCAGAGGCGGCGGAGGAAGTTTGTGGACGCAGCCTCCTTTGGGGATCATCTCCCTTCCGGGTGGAAGCTGCAGCTCGGGCTCAAGCGGAAGGGGCGCCATGCCTGGGTGCATTGCATCCGTTACGTGAGGTTTGCTGCTTTGCCTTGTCAAATTTCCTATAAATGATGATAACTCAGTAGTGGTGGCATTGACAGAGGGAATGCAATCATAACTTATATTGTGTAACAATCTGGATTCTTCCTGCAGTGTATATATGATAGCATATGACGATTATATAAGGATGTGCGATGGTTTGGGTTTGTGTGTACATTTTAGGAATGGGTTTTAAATGCTAATACTTAATGTTGTCCACAAGCACCTAGCAAAAATGGCCCCAAAGGAACACACTGAGATTCTAGTTAAATCATAATCTTCAGTTTTCTTGTTTGCAGAAAACACTGGTGATTTGTCTTGGTTTATGAGCATTGAGCAGCATTCACTGATGTTGTTTCAGCTTTCAAAATACAATCACTAACAGTTTAAGCCTATTAAATATGTTCTTTTGATTTGCACACTTCTTTGATATATCCTTCACCCTTCGATGCATGCATAGTAGCATATACTGTGCACGTTGCAGCGGTACCATCTGACTAGTTTGTGTTGATGCTTGTTATGGCAGTAATTTATCACTATATTCTTAGGTAAAGCATAAAGGGGTAATATTCTTTCACATAGTTCTATATATGGTGTTATAAGGGCTTTAACACACAGTTCTATATATGGTACCCCCTCTGTTCCAAAATGTAAGATGTCCACGCATTCCGAGATTTAAATCTGACCAGCAATTCACAAACAGAATGCGAATTATGTGACACAAAAGTGATATCATTGGTAAATGCTTTTGAATAAGAATCCATTGACATGATTTTTGTGTCATATTGACATAGCCCACATTTTATTGGTGCCTTACATTTTGCAACAGAGGGACTACCTTCTATTTGTTGTGCTTTTGGTTGAAGTAACACCGGACACTTGAGCATTCCAATCAGTTAAATTTTATCAAGATACTGTGCCATATGTATTCGCATATATACTACCATTCTTTATTCTTAATGATGGTTTTGCTTTATACTATGAAAATTATTCCTCATCAATAAGTTGTTTAATTCTGGAAATTGTCAAGAATTACTTTTCTGTTTAAGGCTATTTGTCCGTTTGTTGGTAGGAATCAATGTCCAATAGCTGCGCTGCTGGCTCTCACATTTTTTATATTTGTTGCCTGGAAGTCTAGTTGAGATAAGAGAATTTCAGCAATATGCTTTGCTTTATCTCCCATGCATTGTTAGTGCTTTTGCCCTTACCGCCTGACCGGGACAATTGTGCTTTCCATATATTCTTTCTTGTATTTTATTATCTAGTGTAGCTAAGCCTACAAATCATACTTTCCAGCCCAAGAGGACATCAGTTTCGTACTTGTAAAGAAGTTTCTGTGTATCTTATGTCACTTCTTGGGTATCCGGCGTCCGTAACAGTTCCTATTCAGTATAACAGCACCAGACAACATGCCTTGAGTGATGATGATGGTGAAGATGACGTAAGTTTATAGTGTATTCCATTTTGTTTTGTACCTGAATTTTCCTTGTTTAATTTATGTGTTTCACAGGCTGTAGGGTTTCAACATCAAATTGGTTCAAGTGTGGATAACCTAAATGTATTGCCAGTTACTTCTGTCACCATTTCCAGCCGTTCCTGCAATTCAAAGGATACGGTAGAAGGAAATAAAAATCCAGCAAATACTTACAAGTGCCAGAATTGCAATTTAACTTTGCACAATCAAAGTGCCTATGTGCAACACCAGCTGTTATTTCATGAAAAGAAAGCTAAGAGGCGCAGAAAGAGTAGCAAATTTGGTGAACCAAAAGTTGGTAAAGATGGGGAATTTGAATGCCCTGTATGTCACAAGACCTTTCAGGAGCAATCACGGTACTTTGGCCATGTTGGAGCCCATGCAAGGCATGAGGGGCTTACTCCTGAAGCTTTCTTTGATAAGATCTCATCAGGACAGGCAGTTAACAACTTCTTGGGAGAGTTACAATTTACCCCTCAGGGGCTTACTGAACCAACTGAACAAAAGGGCAAGACTGCAGGCGAAGCATGTTCTCAGCATCAGAGTTATTCAAAAGAACAAGGGGGTGATAGCTCAAAAGTTATAGATCTTTTTAGCACAAATTGTTCCGGTAGTTTCAATAGGCCTAGTGAAGCTTGGTGTAGACAGGTAGAGGTTCCTCCTGTTACAGATGCTCGAAGTGCATGCAGATACAGAAATGATATGATGGATTATGCCAATGTAACTGTTCCAAAACTAAAAGTAGCTCCTGAATCCAATGATGAACCAAATGGCAGGCTTAACGGCTTTGCTGAAGTTGATGATTTTAGTGATCACACGGGAAGTGGCCATGACTTCAGACCTTCTAGCTTCTCAAGTGCTAAACATTATGAGGACCAGATTGTTGATCGTGGCTTTCCTGTTTCAAAGCGTGGCGAGGTCAATAATACTGTGAAAGCAAGAGATGTCAACCTTAATTCATGCCTGGACACAATATCTTTCCCGATTGCTAGTGCAAACAATCAAACTTCTACTGCTGTTGATGAGGCTAATCAATCGTCCATTGCTGGAAAATGCTTCATTGGCAGTTTTAATAATAATGATGGTGCATCTACTACATCATCCTGTTCTGTCTCAAATAATAAAGTATCTGGTTCCCTTGGTGGATCTAACGGATCCTCTAATGCTGCCAGATGCATCGGTGGTAGTTATGGTAATGATGCAGCAGCTAACATTTTTGGCAACAAGAACAATACCATGGTGTACCAGTGTAGTTTGAACACATGCCCCATCTCTCATGTTGCAACTAATGTGGATTCTTTTGTTTCCCGTTCAACACATGCAAAGAACAGTGACAAAGAGCGTGCATACAATACCAAGGAACAAATGAATACCACACAGAACAGAGCAAGTAATGAAGTTGTTGAAGGCTATAATAATGATGTCTATACTGGTAGTATCACTGAAAGGAGTCTTGCCCAGTGTAGTAATAACTTGAGTCACCCAAAATCTAACATTCTGAGCCGCTGTGCATTACTGGACTCAAGCACTTTGACAGCCAGTAACTTAACCAAGGGAATTGATGTCAACTGCATGAATGGTTCTTTTGTTTATAGAAATGATGCCAACGTGGAGGGTCCTTCTGTAAATAGGCCCATGAATAATAATGATTCAGTGGGTTCTGTGCATGCCGTGTTGGGAAAGCCAAGTAACGATATGCAAAATCATTACAGTGGTAGTGCTCCTAATTACACCCCGCTTGCTGCAGCTAATATCAACGATCTAATACCTATGCAGAGCAATTTTGATGGCATGTCAACTTTGGTTCATTCTGTTGGTGATGTTCCAAGGAGCAGCACAACCCAGGATCAGGTAAAATTGACATGATTTTGCAGGCTTTCATAACTCTTGCACGATATAGAAGTGGTTTGATTTTTTTTGACGGGCATTAATCATAAAATAATGAATCTATATTGATTTGATCGCTACTTAAATGAGTTGCTTTGTTCCCTTTCACTGAAAACAAGAGAAGCAATATAATTATACTAGGCAAAGCAAATGGATTTGATGTTGGCTTATTTCTCTCCCGGTATGAGTTCGGTTCTGCATGGTTGAGTGAGGAATTTTTTTTTTGCTTAACCTTTCAGCACAACCCTGGATTAGGTAAAATTTACATGATTTTGCAGGCTTTCATAACTCTTTCAAAACCAAATGTAAGGTCCGATTAGGTCCATCTCGACAAACTAGATAATGATACGGGGCTAACCCGGTGTAGGCCGATCTTTTTCACGATTGGAGTGGATTCCCTCGGAGAACACGAGGAACACGATGAACACGGGGAATAACGGAGAGAAATCACAAGGGGAAACACTGAAGAACAAGTCCAATCACACATCCACTAGACAATCAAACACACAAGATCACGAGGTACATGAACAACAAAGGGAAAGATACAAGGTAGAGTTCATCTCCGAGAGAACGTCTTGATGATATCTTAGACGGATCTTCCCGTGAGGGGTCTTGATGATATCCCCCAGGATCTTCTCACATGGAGGCCTTGAACTCCATGGGAGTGGTAGTCTCTCTCTCTCAAGAGTAGAGGTAGGTAGGAGCAAAGCTCACATACAAATGAGCTATCATGTTTGCTAACCCTAGAAGGGAGGAGGGGGATGAGTATATATAGTGGTAGCCACGAAGGGGTAAGTGAGGGGCGAAAGGGAACACGGGCTTCGGCCTGAGTGTCTGCGCGCAGGCAGGGCCAGAAATTCTGGGATGGACCGGAAGTTCCGGGCTCCGGAAGTTCCGGGCAGGTTGTGGCCGGGTTCCAGGTTATCCAGAGAGTTGGCGCACCCGGGGCTGGTCTGGACTCCGGGGGCCGGAGGTTCCGGGCAGGCCGGAAGGTCCGGGGGCTGGAAGTTCCGGGCAGAAGCCAGAAGTTCCGGGCTTTCCAGAAGCTTGTCCATGCTTCTTCTTCCTTCTCTTCCACGCTTCCCTCGCGGATGGTGTAGGTGATCCTTGGCGCTTGCACTCCTCGTCGTCGTCCGTGAAGCTCTGACAATACCTATGCATGCACACGAGTGGAGTGTCAAGTAGTATACCATCCTCGAAGGGGTCAAGTGAACACGTGTAAAGGAGATGATTCACCTTTGTGTATGTGAAGTAGATGTGGCACGTGTCACTTGCCAAACGGGCTCTTGACATGGTGATGTCCATAGGATGCTCCGCATCAGATAAGATATGCACACCACATTTATATTACGGGATTAAACCTAGCTGAGCTTGTTTTGCACTTGGCATTAATTAGAGGGTCCTCCCTCCGTCCTATATTAGTTGTCACTCAAACAGATGTACATAGCAGTGAAATATGTCTAGATACATCCATTTCAGCGACAACTAATATGGGACGGAGGGAGTATTCAATATTGATCCATGAGAATGGTTAGATTATTAAATACTGTGCTAAAGGAATCAAATCCACAACTTTTACAAGTTTATGTAGGGTGTAAAACTACACCGGCCAATTCAAACGTCTATAAAATTTTACTATTGGGAATGGGGAATTTCGTGAAGCAATTGCTGTTCTATGCAGAATCATAAATACCACTATTATTTCATGCTAGTAATACATTAATAAACAATGCCTCTTTGATATTCTAACTTGATTTTTAATATCGGATATCAAATATTAATTGGTGATATGTCGTACGACATGTAGTTGAATCAGGAAACACTCTTTGCATTTTTTTAGTTATTATTATTGTTTATACGACGCCTTTCTAATACAAATAAAACGTAAATAAACTAATACTCGAGCACAAGAAGTGTATGATTCAAAATGTTTGACGGTTTGATTATTAAATACGAAATGAGCACTCAAGAAATTCTTATTATAACATAGAGTATGCATGTGTCCTAACTCATTCAATATTTTATCGAGATTTAAGAAAGAATATACTCCCTCCGCCCTAGAATAAGTGTCGCTGATTTAGTACAACTATGAACTAAATCAACGACACTTGCTTCGGGACGGAGGGAGTACTACATACATATCACTCCATATTGGTTTTTTAGCGGGGTAAAAAAAAGCCCATGCATGTTTTTATAGTTCTATTTTTGCTGTTTCTGTTTGTTCTCGTTCTCACAACTATTGCTTAATATGAAAATGCCTTTTGGATATCTCGGTTGCCTTGTTTCCGTGTTATCAAATTTTGTTGTGCTGGACTTTGTTGGGGCAATGATCTTTCATGCTGAATACCCATGTGATAATTGATATTTTTTTTTGTAATAATGAAAACAGTGTGCGTTGCAACTTGGATTTGGTGGTCAGAAGCAGCACGTGTTTCCTGGTTATGGATGGGCTGCATTTGGATCCCCTCAGCTTGTGGGCTTGGCCAGAAATAATAATTTACCCACTAGATCCTCACAGTTTGGGAGCATGGTCAGACCTAATTCTTCTCCTTCTGGATCCTCTCAGTTAGGGAGTGTGGCAAGTTCTGATTATCTGCGAACTGGATCATCTCAGTTTGGGTGCATGGCTGGACCTTCTATACCTGCTGCCGAATCCTCTCAGTTTAGGCACATGGACGGACCGAATTCTAAACATTCTGCTGAATCCTCTCAGTATTGGCACATGTCTGGAACCAATTCTAGACCTCCTGCTGGATCCTCTCAGTTTGGGAGCGTGGTCAGACCTAATCCTGTACCTTCCACTGAACCCTCTCAGTTTGGGAGCTTGGCCAGGCAGAATTTTGGGAGGACATCCGAGCCAACTTTAGTGTTGGGGAATGTACTCAAGGTACCAAGGATGATTAGTGGAGGGAGCATGCTCGCAGCAGTATGCACATGGTGCAACAGCCAGTTCCACCATTTTGGCCCCGTCGATGGACAGCAGGTTGGTAATTACGGCCTCATCTGCCCATCATGCAAGGATAAGGTGTCTGGTCAACGTAATATGCCCAACAATGGCTTGTGGCAACCCTGAGGTCATCTGAATAGCGTTGGAGACGTTTTTTTTCCCGCTGTATCTGTTAAGGTTGAAAATTACCTGCACCGATCAGTTTGCAGAGTTGAGCGGGCTATCTAGGAATGATGTTTGTATTTGATGTGCTCCATCTTCTCTTAGGAAGTTTATCGATTTCATGACACGAGTGTAGGCGTATTTCGTTAGAACTGAAATAATAGTTTTAGATTTTATTTATTACATTTACCCGGGTATATCTCTTGCAGGAGCTCCTAATTATGTTGCTCAGATAAGATATTACATCCTCTGTCTAAATGTAAGACGCTTTGGCAGTTCAATTTAAACTGGCAAAACGTCTTGTGTATTTAAAAACAGAGGTAGTAGTATATTCTGGCAGTGATGAAAACTCTTCTAGAGCTGTAACAGGCTTCAAGCATCTTTTTTCAGGAAATCACAGGTAGAGGTTCGATGTTCAGAAGAATCTGGTTTACTAAGTTGCGAGGCATAAATCCTATACTACAGGGTTATGCTAGTTTGCTTTTGCGTGTGAACTTGGGGGGTTTTTCAGGTACTTTTTGGTGTAGGGACTAGAAAAAGTCCTTCTTAAAGACTTTTTAATCAAACAGGAAGGACTTCTAAGAACTAAACGTTGTTTTACTAAATGAAGAAGACTTTCAAGGAGTCTTTTTTGAACTTTTTGAGACTTTTCCAACCATGTCCCTCTCTGCACCCAATGCCGCGTCGCCCCATGGTGTTGTTTGGTTATTATTTTTCTGTATATTAGGGATAACATGGTCATTTAATAACTTCTAGAAAGGGACTAGGGACTTTTTAGTCCCTGGAAACTAAAGTTTTTTTTAGGGAATAGGGACTTTTTAGTTGGGACTAGAAAAAATCCTAGGACTTATAAACAAACAGGACCTTAAGCTGCTGCGATAGGTGTGACATTTGTTCAATAACGACCACGGCGGTGACACGTGCTGTTGGAGTTGTATGGGCTTATATATCGGTTATTAATCGGGAATCTTATAGAGCTGACGTCCCCTGAAGCGGGTTTGCGGCGTTGTACTTTTGGTCCCGCATGTCCTGGGTTTTATTTCTGGTTGGTTCGTTTCAAGTCGGTTCAGACATGCAGGAGGTATTTTACTACCGCGGTGCTCTCCCTCAGCCCTTTTGAAAGGACATTTACCTCCGTAAGTGTTTTGGTGTTATGACAATGCAATTTACAGACTAATCATGTGCTTGAACTGCACAGACAACCGGTAAGTGTTTTGGTGTTGTGACAATGCAATTTACAGACTAATAGTGTGCTTGAACTGCACAGACAACGATTAGATACCCATTTGAAAGCAAAAGATCGAAAACTGCATTTCTGATGTTTTATTTCTTTGGTCATAGTAAATCCGTACAGTTTACAGGGCGTCTGCGGTGGAAGGTACGGGTGGAATCAAATCGTGTACACAAAAGTGATTCAACCTGTTGTTGGATTGTTAGGAAAACAGTGGTATCCGTAGCCCACAAATGTTTAAGTCCTGGTGCTTGCATTATTTTGGATTTCTTTTCCGTATTTTAGGCGATGTGCGAGAGTGTGACGTTCTCGTCAACTACAAGGCGTCTGTGGAGATTTTGTCAATCTCTAGATAGTATGTCGCCGCAGTCTCTCGGAGGTCTTCATAGGGGTAGGGTGTTCGTGTGCGTATATGTGAGCGCTTACGCCTGTACTGTGTCCTAGAAAAATCACGTACAAAAAATCTTTATTGCACCCACTACACCTTCCTACAAGTTTTTAGGAGAGAACCAAATTCTACCAAGTGCTGAAAGTGTTCATCCGGTGATCCTGTCAGTGCTAAATCCGACATATCTTGAGGTAGTGGTCCTAAGCTAGGTGTCTTAGCGATGGTAACATGGACACAAGATTTTAATCAGGATCAGGCTCTCTCGAAGAGATAATACACTATGTCATGCTTTTGATTATATTGATATGGGGTATAGTACAGAGTACAAGTATCTACCATAAGATTGTTGTAATGAATATGAAATGATCTATTTACTAGCCTAACCTCGGTTTTATATAATGCACTGGAGACCCAGGGTTTAGAAGAGTCCTTGTTTTGTGTGTCAAGTCTTGTATAATCTTTCTTGTATGCGTCATGGGCTGGATGAAGTGGCCCATTATTAGTGAACCGTCATGGGGGTCCTCGGCCCGGCCCACCTGATCGGGAGACTACATGGTGAGTACCCCCTAGTCCAGGACACCAACAGTAGCCCCCTGAACTGGTCTTCAAATTGGGGACGCTCCGTGGTTCTTCCTAACTGTTCTTCGTCTTTGGTGTCAGACTTGAAAGCTGGTTCAATAAATTTTCTCACCTTCGATCTCGAGGATCGCTGAGGTGTATTCGAAGAATTTACTCGTCGGGCATCTGAGGAGTTTACACGCTGGGCATCTAAGGAGCCCTTTAAGTTCTCGGCCTTTACAGATGCCTTGTTATTTTTACGCCACACCTCAGGTTCGACGGTTTTCCCGTGCAGCGGTGTCCCCTTGCAACCGAGCTCCAATGCCGGCCTGCATCTGAGGTGTCTTTTTGCAGCTGAGCTCCAATGCCGACCTGCATCCGAGGAGTCATAGATCACCTCGGCTTTGAAAAAGGATGAAGGAGCTCAATCGAGCTTAATGCCGGAAAAGTCCTCTGTGGAGCCAGCTACTCACGTCCGAGCTTTATCTCAGACTGCTCCTGAGGTGGTGCACCACCTCGGCCTTGGGCTGTTTCTACGTTCTTTTTCGATTGGTGCAATTTATTCTTTGTCGAGATGTATAGCCAGTAGCCCTCTAATACATCCACTTTGCATCATGTTTTTATGTTGATATTTATTGCATTATGGACTGTTATTTCACATTATGGTATAATACTTATGCCTTTTCTCTCTTATTTTACAAGATTTACATGAAGAGGGAGAATGCCGGCAGCTGGAATTCTGGACCGGAAAGGAGCAAATCAGAGAGACCTATTCCGCACAACTCCAAATGTCTTGAAACTTTACGGAAAAAATAATGGGCAAAGAAAGAACAGAGGATGACCCACCAAGTGGCCACAAGCCTACCCCCCAGGGCGCGCCCCTGAGCTTGTGGGCCTTCTGGCAGGCCCCCAGTGCCCATCTTCTGCTATATGGAGGGTTTTGACCTAGAAAAAACCCATAAGGAATCTTTCGGGACGAAGCGCCGCCATCTCGAGGCGGAACCCGGGCAGAAGCAATCTAGGGATCCAGTGGAGCTATTCTGTCGGGGAAACTTCCCTCCGGGAGGAGGAAATCGAAGCCATTGTCATCACCAATGATCCTCTCACCAAGGGAGGGTCAATCTTCATCAACATCTTCACCAACAACATCTCCTCTCAAACCCTAGTTCATCTCTTGTATTCAATCTTTGTCCCAAAACCTCAGATTGGTACCTGTGGGTTGCTAGTAGTGTTGATTACTCCTTGTAGTTGACGCCAGTTGGTTTATTTGGTGAAAGATCATATGTCCAAATCCTTAATGATATTCAATACCCCTCTGATCTTGAACATGAGGATGCTTTGTGAGTTGTTACGTTTGTTCCCGAGGACATGAGAGAAGTCTTGTTATAAGTAATCATGTGAATTTGGTATTTGTTCGATATTTTGATGAGATGTATGTTGTGTTTCCTCTAGTGGTGTTATGTGACCGTCGACTGCATGACACTTCACCATAATTTGGGCCTAGGGGAAGGCATTGAGAAGTAATAAGTAGATGATGGGTTGCTAGAGTGACAAAAGCTTAAACCCTAGTTTATGTGTTGCTTCGTAAGGGGCTGATTTGGATCCACATGATTCGTGCTACGGTTAGATTTATCTTAATTCTTTTTTCATAGTTGCAGATGCTTGTGAGAGGGGTTAATCATAAGTGGGAGACTTGTCCAAGTAATGACATGTAGCACCCAAGATGCGATTCTATCCCAATCACGTGATGAATTCATGATTGGGGCACAATCACATTTCGAGCGCATAGCAAGGTGGATATCATTACAACATACCATGTACTGAATAGATGAGAATACAAGATAAAGGCTTACACTCGCCACAAGTTACAACATTCATACAACAATACATCAATACATAGCATTCATCATGCAGAAGAGCAGGATCCGACTACGGATGAAATCAAACGAAAAAGAAGAAGGACATCCACCCTACTAATGCCCAGGTCCCCGACCCGGAACCTTTTTCCCTTGATTGAAGAAGCAGAAGAAGAACTCCAAACAAGTAAGCATCGCACTCGTGTCAGATCGCATTACCTGTACCTGCAACTGTTGTTGTAGTAATCTGTGAGCCACAAGGACTCAGCAATCTCATTAGCATGGGTATCAAGACTAGCTAAGCTTAATGGGTATGTAATGGATAAGTGGTGAGGTTGCAGCGAGCGACTAAGCATTGTATGGTGGCTAACTTATGAGTACAAGAATAAGATGAGAAGCTACACAAACGGTCGCAAACTAGTAATGATCAAGAAGTGATCCTGAACTACTTACGTTCAATCATAACCCCACCATGTTCTCTTCTCGATTTACTCGAAAAGAGGCAGTCCCAGTTACAGACGCGGTTGGTGTATTTTAATTTGAATCTGGTGTCAAGTTCTCTACAATAGGATATTAAAAAAATCCCATCTACCACATAACCGTGGGCATGGCTCTCAAAAGTTTAAACCCTGCAGGGGTGTCCCAACTTAGCCCATGACAAGCTCACGATCCATGGAGACAATCCTCCATCACAGGACATCCGATCATATTCGGGATCCCGGTGCACAAGACATTTCGACAATGGTAAAACAAAACCAGCCACACCTCCCGACGTCCCGACACCCTAATAGTAGCCGCACGTATCTCATCTCAGGCCATGAGGGACGAGCGACGCGTACAGGTGCCAAAATAACCCAGGTTGCCCCGGGGCGGCCCTGCACAGTGCTCTAGTTTGTACCAACACTCATGAGGAGCACTGGCCCGGGGGTTG